GTGGCGGTTATAAAACAATGTGTAGAAAATTACATAACAGTCCACGCTATACCGCGGGTGATACGGACCGAGCAAGGATCGGGAATTGAGGCTGAATCAACTCGACAATTTTTTACACAACATAATATACAATTGATTCTTTCGTCTGTAGGGATGCATCGGGCCACGGGTCTGGTTGAACGTTGAGTACATACTTTTTGGGAAGGCTTATGGCTTACTCCTTTCAGAAACCAAAGCCAAAACTAAAATTTGCTTTAAACGAAACTCTGTACAACATTAGAACTGCTTCGACTCAAAACTTGGCGTGAAAAAAATGTTGTTTTCTCTAGATCGAAACAAGAAGATGTTTCCCGAAAAGGTAATGGAGGCTTACGGTAGGCCAGAGCATGGGAATGTTCAACCGTTAGTACCGGATGTGGCGGTCCCAAAGATTTCAACGTGTGAGCCAAACAAAGCTCTAGTGCTTTAAGCCCAGAAAAAAGGTTAAACAATTTTTCGAAATATCAAGGATCGGTTGAAATGGGAACCTTACTTTGAACAACTCAATGAACAATTATTTCCGACAGATGGAACGCCATTACCGGAAGTGGGGCGGTTCAAGAGCCCAACGGCTAAGAAGGGCAGCAAACAAGACTAAGATGCCCGCAAAACTGCAGCAATTCCAGCATCAGAAGAGACAACTGGACGAATCACTCAAGAAACCGTTTCAGTTGCTAGGAGAACTGCGGAGAACCCGATAACTATCGATAGCTCATCGATGGCACTGATGTCTACCGAGAGCCCAATAGGCAATCGCCTATTTGGTATAAAAGCAATATCGAAGTGCCCTACGCCTCAGCCGTTGGTGTCAGAGACGTTAGCTGAGGGTGCTAAGCCAAGTGTGACAACAAAAAAGCTACACGCGATTCCGTCGAATAAGATGCTGACCAAAAGAGTGATTGTACCTTATTCGAGCCCAGAGGATGGCAGCGTGCTCCGGTAGGAGACAACTGGGCTTCCAACTAGTCCGGTGGCAATATCATCAGCAAAAGAGGGCGGTGAGGATACAGAGGAGGATGAAGACGGATACCCTGATTCGCAAGAGATGGATACCCAAGAACCTCAACCCACAGGGGGCAAACTGTCGTCGCTGAGGGCTACGCCGATGGACGCCAAGGAAGAGGGGGTGAGTACATCATCTTCTAAGAGCACAGGGGTTCAGCAGAAAACCGGTACTTCACAGCCCACGATGGTCACTCGCCATTATAGACGGCCATCACTAGAAAAAAAAACCACCAAACTTTTTGGGGAGAGGTTGTTGACAGAAGCAATTTTATTGGCTCGGTATACCTCTGACGAAGAGTTAGGGAAGCAGTGAAAAGCTTCATCGAAGGTCGTACTGAGAACAGTGAATAGGTACAGAGGAGGAGGCAACATCGGTGTGGGGGACAGGGCGAAGAAACCATTAACACCGACTTCCCCAAAGAAGATTCCGAACCCAAAAAATGAAGTGCCGAAGACACGCATTTCGAAAGAGAAATGTGCCGCTTCTACTGGGGACAGGATTACATACAGGTGGACCTTACTGGACTTAACAAAGACGTGTCAGGACATTTTGCCGACGTACTGAACACACTGCGTCGCATCGTTAAGCATACATCGGGGGCCCATCAGTTACGGATTTGACGGGGAACGTCATAGATGGTTTTCAATAACAATATCTATACTAAGGGCTGGAGATTACAATTAGGAATAGCCGAAAAAATTCCAACCTAAGTTAGTGGACATTGCGCAGGCCGAAATACACAGGACACGGGTGGCAAAAGCCCAGACTGGGAGAGAATTGCTGATACGAATCGGAAAGGACATGGGTTGAACGGTGCTCATGGCTCGGGGAGTCAAAATCAGCACGCCGATTAAACTCAGCAAGAGGAGCATACGCAATGTTACACGGAACGGCAGACGAAATCAAACTTACCGGCGACTCGAGCGGTCTTTTGCAACGGACGACTTTGACCTTGCTGACAAAATTTCAGCCACAAGCATGATGGAGGACGACCATCGTCAAACTTAAGAGGAACACGAGAATTTGTGATCCATCAAAGAAGGGAAAGAACAGGGGCATATGTAACCGACGATTGTGCAACCAAAATGACAAACTATTATAGTTTAGATTGCTTATGATCAATCAGATGCATAATTTACTAGAAATTTTTTGGATTGAATTATTTCGAAGGGAGAATGCAGTGTAGAGGTCAATTTATGTTCCGATAACCCGTTTATATTTTGTGTTTATACATGACGTAAAGTCATATGACTATTAAATTAATTGTTTAAGCGACAGTGACGTTTACCTACAGCCAGTGGGTGCAAGTACCGTATTGATTTACAGTTTTTTTTACGTTTTACGATCCACTTAAGTTATGAAGTAGTGCTCACGCATCATTGCACAAGTTTGATTGGTCTGTTAGGCCGGATAATAGAAGCAAAATACAGAGCCTTTCCACGCGGATTTACATTGGGCAAAGCAGCTTACTTTTTGCAGTGTAGACGCCAGTGAGACACATAAGTGCATGAGGGTCACAAAAATTAGTTGCTGTGTGTGCTCTTTAAACGCCAAAATAAAAAAAAAGTCAGTTGAAAACTTATTTGAGTTCTACAAAAAATTTGTTGCTGGTCAATTCGGCTATGACAAAAATATTTGATACTTTTTCTTGATAGTTGCAATCGCAGGTGTGTCCAGTAAATTAGATTCGATTGCTAAAAAGCGCTGTCAATCAACGCCATTTTTCATGCTTGTTTTTAAAATTTTTAATAAAGTGCAGCAGCCTAAATTATAATGCAAAAGTTGTCGTTTGTCCGGCTATAAAATAAGTAAACCTCTGAGCAGTTTTCGGTCAAACGCAAGGACCTATCCTTACATCTGTCCGTAAAAACTGTTTATCGAGACAAGCGACTTATGTTTGAAGACTGAAGTTCAAAAATTTAGTTTTATCAACTTCGGTTATCTGACACACTTCTTGTTGATTTAAGAGTTTGAGAAAGCTTCTGTTTTTAAGCTATCCTACTAAACAGGGTCGAATGATGAAAAAAACTTGCTTTGCATAGTGCGCTAGCTCTGGTCAATCAATTTATTGGATTAAAAATTTGTGTTTTTGATTTCGAACGTAAGTAATTTTACAGTTTGACTAAAACTCTACCTCTCTGGGGACGGAAACGTTGAAAATTTACTTTTACAAGAACAAATTTATCCTCCGATTATTTGAGACTTGATTCCGATTCAAAACTTAAGGCAGATGGTTAAAACAGGCATTTTCGTACCCGGAAAACCCTGTTAATTCTTTGAAATCAATTGTTATTCACTTTTTGGAGGGTAGCTCGGGTCATTTGCTCATGGTCTACGAAAAAGTTTTTTTATTATTCCCAGTGAATATTGTCCAAACTTAACCTAAAAAACAGGTATTTTACCGGGAAAAAACCTGAACTTGCGCTTAATTTTGTTCAATAGTAAATTTCGAAATTCTCACGGCAAGTCAACATTCGTGTTTCCAATATGAAGTAATTCTATGTTTTTATTCAACCCGTTCTCAGAATTTTCCTCATTTGGGTCAGTCAGACTGTACGTAGGCGAATTAAATGCAGCTTTTTACCAAATTGAAGTGATTAAAACAATTTTTGTTTGTATTTTTGGTCACGCGAGAATCGATAGTTTTGATCAAAATTGATTAATGCACTCATACGTCCATTTCTCGCTTAAATTTGAATAAATAAAATAATTTCCAGTCATCAGATATTTCCTCCAATGGAAGCAGAGTTTTCCATTATCGAGAAGAGTACAAATCGATTATATATTTTTTTCACAGCTTTGCAACTGAACTTTTGACGTCTTCTTCTTAGTTAACTCCAAATTTGATTTTTTAAAGAAAAATCATTTTTTATATTCAATTTCAGCGCTTCTACATTTGAATATTAAAGCAATATGTTCACAAATATATTTTTTGTTTCTTTAATACGATGTAAATTTGTCAACATACGCTTGATGAAAATCAACCCTATCAAAACCATGATATATCAATACTAGTTCCTTTGAAATTGCTGCGATGCAAAATTTTGTTCAGCAATGACTACGAATTGTCAGGAAACGTCTTTGTGGTACTTGATTTTGAGTTAAAAGACATGTATTTCACAGAATACATACTTCCAACACATTACGTGGTCGGAACAGATACTTCTAGGACAACTTTTACTTTTTTTGCTGCGAAATCAGTTCGCTCAACCTTTTAACCAATATGACACAATCTATCTCGAAACAAAATCGATTTTTTCAGATTGGGTACTCAGCGTCCCAACATAGGATCCATAGTCAGTAGCGTCCGTCCCCCCCCCCCTCACGGATTCGACACCCTGCCAACCCCTTTTTACTATTTTGAGACATCCATTTTTGGTGACGGAGCCTAAATTCTAAAACTTTTCTAAAGGTGCCCTTGGCGCCAATATATACTAATTTTGAGGGTAGCGCGCGCCAAAAAATAACTCGATTTTTGGAAGAAATTTTCCAAAAAATGCATAAAAACGCCTTTTTGGCTTTTTTTACAAATATGGCTGCGGAGCCAAAAGTTTTGTCAAATTAGGGTCTTTATACGGATTTGGGAGAGCTCAAAAAAATCAATTTGGTTGACCTAAAACAAAAAAAAGGTCGACAAAATTTTCAAAGTGAGAAATTCCTAGATCCGCGCCTGTACATAGTATTCAATTAAAAAACTGTTTTCCTTTCAATTTACTTTCGGAAGCTTGAACGGAAGCTTAATGAATTTATGTCAAATTATTTTTTAATGATAATTTATAGAGGCCATTGAATGAACTAAAATAAGAATTATAAAAAGTAAATCAAATTACCATTACAATTTCATCGCATTGACGAACTAACACTTGTAATATTTTTTAAGGAATGGCTTGTTAAATGTATTTCAGACACGTTTGAAATGTTTTTTTTCTTGAAAACGTTAAATAAATAAGCAAGTGTCAGTTGAATCTACTAATCAAAATGGAGAATTCATTCCAAGCTTAGTTCCAAATTGTAATTTGCTTCTGCGGTGCTGTTTTAACGCTTTCCTTACTTCCGAAAATTTTGTCAAATTATTTTGTCAGAAAAAGAGCCAGCAAACACCACACAACCCCCGCTATCCATACTTGTCCAGGTGTATTTGGAATCGAAAAAGGGGTATTTTTGTACGTCTGTACGTCTGAATAGAAATAGAAGAGCTGCAGGATAATAATGAGAGGACACATTATTGTCCAAACTAGGTTGCGGAAGGGAGCCCGACGCCAGACGTAGGTTTTGGGGAAGACAAAACTGGCTGATATGAAGCAAAGGTGAACGACCAGGAACCTAAACGAATCAAATAGATCCTTTCAGCAAGTGAACTTGAAGATAGGTTTGAACCGAATTCGAGTTTTTCAGCAAAACACTACACTCCTGTGATTCTCTTCTTGTCTTTTATGATGACCTTGTCCTCGCGTGTCGTTTGCGAATACTTTATTAACAATACTATCAAAATATATTTTCAAATCTGGTTCTATACTACCAAGCAGAGTATTGCTACGGCTCATTAAGATCAGCGAGCTTCTTTACATAAAAATGACGAAATTTTCAGATAATGATAGAGCTGAAAAAAAAAACGTATAATCTCATTTCAAGTTTCCAATGATCAAGTTCATTTTTGTCTAAAATGAGTCAAAAATTGACGTTTCCGATTTAAAAAAGGAAGAGATTATTACTCGAATTAAGTCAGAAACTTTTTTCACTCAAAAAATACTCAATTTCGTTGAATTTTGACACGGTTGGTCTTTTCTTGAGCACACGCACCACGTGGTGAGGTTCTGCGCGACTACTAGGGCGCCTCTGTAGCTGCCCCTGTATCCATTCCACAACTCAGTGGAGTTTGTGTTGCCGTGAGTGAGGAGACAGTTGTCCTCTTCTGTGACGTAGAGACACATGGTGTAGAGAATGAGCATCTCCATGAGTGGCAGCAGCAGACACGTCGGCAGGAACCGCATCGCAAACACAACTGTAAATTCACGCACGTCCTGAAGAAAAAAACAATGATTTAATTACATGACAAAACATAACTGCAATCAACGAAAATCATTCTTAATTCTTAAATTCTTACATACTATGTTGATGAACCTTTAATGACCCGAAGAGAAAGAGATCTAAAATACATGCAGAAAGAGATGGGAAATTTCTCAACTTCGAACTATACTGGTCTTCAAAAACCAAATTTCTGCCTTTTCTGAGATGAAACGAAACATTTCGACTTAGATCTTGTTAAAACTCATCTTAATATCAATCCTTAGAAATCGAACACTTAATAGTAACACCTTAAAACATCCTTAAACACCTTAAGAATTTATATCATTACAATTATCTCCTGTGCTCTTAAAACATTGAACTTAATAATGAAAGGTTTTGAGCAGTATGTAACATTTTGAATATTGTGTACTGTTTTGAGTAATATGTAACGTTTTCAACATTATTTACCATTTGGAATATTAAGAACCATTTTGAGTGATGTTTACCAATTATAGTATTATGCACCGTTTTGAGTATTATGTACCGTTTCGAGCTATGCTAGCCATTTTGAGTATTATGTTTTGTTTTGGTATTATGTACCGTTTTGAGAATCATGTACCGTTGTGATTATTATATACCTTGTTGAGTAATATGTACCTTATGAAGCATTAAATAATATTTTGAGTTTTATGTACCGGTAACGTTTTGAGTATTAAGTACTGTTTTTAGTGTAAAAGACGGTTTTGAGTATTATATACTCTGTTTAGTATTACGTACTGTTTTGAGTGTTATGTAAGGTTTTGAGCGTTAAGTACCATTTTCATATCATGAAAAATTTTGAGTATTATGTACTAATTTGAGTATTATGTACCGTTTTGAGTATTATGTACCGTTTTGAGTATTATGTACCGTTTTTAGTACTGCTATACGTTTTGAATGTTATGTACTAATTTGAGTATTATGTACCGTTTTGAGTATTATGTACCGTTTTGAGTATTATGTACCGTTTTGAGTATTATGTACCGTTTTTAGTACTGCTATACGTTTTGAATGTTATGTACTAATTTGAGTATTATGTACCGTTTTGAGTATTATGTACCGTTTTGAGTATTATGTACCGTTTTGAGTATTATGTACCGTTTTGAGTATTATGTACCGTTTTTAGTACTGCTATACGTTTTGAATGTTATGTACTGTTTGAGTATTATGTACCGTTTTGAGTATTATGTACCGTTTTGATTATTATGTACCGTTTTGAGTATTATGTACCGTTTTGAGTAGTATGTAGCGTTTTGAGTATTGCTAACCATTTTGAGTATTATGAACTGTTTTGAGTATTATGTACCGTTTTGAGAATTATGTACCGGTGTGAGTATTATATACCTTGTTGAGTAATTTGTACCATATTCAGTAATAACATTTTGAGTATTATGTACAGTTCTGAGAATTTTATACCGTTATGACTATCAAGTAATATTTTGCGTATAATGGACAGTTTTGAGTACCATGCGATGTTTTTAGTATTATGTACCGTTTTGAGAGTTATTTAGGGTTTTGAGAGTTATGTAGCGTTCAAGTATTATGTAACTTTGAGTATTATGTACCGTTTAGAAAAATATGTATCGCTTTGAGTTTTCATATCATTCTGAGTATTATACATCGTTTTGAGTTTTATGTACCAATTTGAGTATTAGGTACCGTTTTGAGTAGCATGTACCGTCTTGAGTATCGCTAACCGTTTTGAGTATTATTTAATGTTTTGAGTATAATGTACCGTTTTTATAATTATGTACCGTTTTGAGTATTATGTACCGTTTTGAGTATTAGGTACTGTTTTGAGGATAATGGACATTTTGAGTATTATTTATCGTTTTGAGTATTGCTTACCGTTTTGAGTACTAAGATAGTTTTGAATATATGTACCGTTTTGAGTATTAAGAACTGTTTTGAGGATAATGGACGGTTTTTAGTATTATGTACCGTTTTTAGTATTATGTACCGTTTTGAATATTATGTACTGTTTTAAGTATTATGTACCGTTTTGAGTATTATGTACCGTTTTGAATATTATGTACCGTTTTGAATTTTATGTACCGTTTCGAGTATTATGTACCGTTCTGAGTATTATGCATCGTTTTCACGATAATGGACGGTTTTGAGTATTATGTACCGTTTTGAGTATTATGTACCGTTTTGAGTATTATGTACCGTTTTGAGTATCGCTAACCGTTTTGAGTATTTTTTAATCTTTGAGTATAATGTACCGTTTTTATAATTATGTACCGTTTTGAGTATTATGTACCGTTTTGAGTATTATGTACCGGTTTGAGTATTATGTACCGTTTTGAGTATTTTGCTGTAGTTTTTGCGCGCAGTGGTCCACTGTAATGAGTTTGGACATGTGGGGTTGGCAAGGAGGGCAGTGGATAGGAGGGGCAGGATGAACCCGACCAGCCAGAGGATGAGGGAGCCGGAGAATGGAGGGGGCTGGAAGCAGACTGCCGACAACACCTGGGTAATGATTAGGGCCAAGTGACACGACAGCAGAAAGAGGAGCGCCGTCTTTAGATTATCACTCAATCTGCTCGCCTATAATAAAAAAAGTTGCTATAAATGGAAACTTTCCATGAGTATAACTTATGCCACGATTCGAAAAATACGTATTAAGCATAAGTTATCAAAAAAAACATTCATTTTGACCAAAATAGAAAACCTCTACCGATTGCACGCAGAAAATTTTGTGATATTGACAGATAATTTTTAAACTTTTTTTTCAAAAAGTATTCCGATCTCTTTCTCTAATTTTGAAAAGAGAGTAAACTACCGAGTCTAATATGTTTGTGAGTGAAACGTTTCTGAGTATCTGAAGAGAACAGAGTAGTGCTCCCAGTGCTGATGCGAGACCAAGAGGGGAGAGGTGGCGTCCGTCTGGTAAAAAGAGCTCGAAACACACTGGCTGGCGCACACACGGCTGAGGCACGTATGGCATCACTCCAATACTACAATAAAGAGCGAGTTGACGGCCGATATTAAAGAGCGGTGCATGAAGTATCGGATAATCATCAAAAAATAAAAAATTGAACATATCCTCCAACAGTCAGCTGGAAAAGGGTGGGTCAACGACCGCAAATAAACTCACTTGCTTTTCTGACAAAAACTCACATTTCGAACTTCGAAGATAAAAATAGAAGTATTTAAAGCTCTTTGAATTTCTAGAACATTTTATAATTTATTTATTTTTTTCGATAAATTAACCCAGTTTGAGAAAATTTTTATACTTTTATGAATGTGGTGGTCTAACCTGACGTCTGATTGTAGGAATACGTCGATGTTGGTGACTTTGAGGGAGCTGCCTTACACACAGACTCTCTCGCTGTTCTCCTGCATGATATTCACCATCTCTTTCGTAGCTGTAAACAAATCTACCTTTTATAAGCACCATAGCCAAAGGTGACACATAACCCCATGAGTGGTTGAAAAAAATCAGCCAGAATAAATACAAGAAACAACTCGAGAAAAACTGTAAAAAACAGTTAAATCACAAAAAACGTACACGGAGGTGAAGCTGAATTTAGCACCACTTGCAATACAACAAGTGCAGGATTAAAGCAGCATGAATTTCAAGAAAAATCGGCTTCGAACGATGTTACTCTTGAAACAAAAACTGTAGAAAACGCAGAAAAAAAAAACAAACGTTATTTCCATGTTTGATTATATTAAACTATTTTTAAAAGTCCCAAAGGTGTTGAATTTGAGCATTCAAAAATTGGCGCCCGAGTTTTATCGATTTCATAAATTATATCTAAAAATTGTAGGAAACATTATTTTCAACTGAAATATTTCAGCAAAACAAAATCGATAAAAAACATGTACTGACCACATAGTATCCACGAAAACCATTTATATACTGAGTATTATGTAAATTTTGAGTATTATGTACTAATTTGAGTATTATGTACCGTTTTGAGTATTATGTACCGTTTTGAGTATTATGTACCGTTTTGAGTATTATGTACCGTTTTGAGTATTATGTACCGTTTTCAGTACTGCTATACGTTTTGAATGTTATGAACTGTTTGAGTATTATGTACCGTTTTGAGTATTATGTACCGTTTTGATTATTATGTACCGTTTTGAGTATTATGTACCGTTTTGAGTATTATGTACCGTTTTTAGTACTGCTATACGTTTTGAATGTTATGTACTAATTTGAGTATTGTGTACCGTTTTGAGTATTATGTACCGTTTTGAGTATTATGTACCGTTTTGAGTATTATGTACCGTTTTGAGTATTATGTACCGTTTTTAGTACTGCTATACGTTTTGAATGTTATGTACTAATTTGAGTATTATGTACCGTTTTGAGTATTATGTACCGTTTTGAGTATTATGTACCGTTTTGAGTATTATGTACCGTTTTGAGTATTATGTACCGTTTTGAGTAGTATGTAGCGTTTTGAGTATTGCTAACCATTTTGAGTATTATGAACTGTTTTGAGTAGCATGTACCGTCTTGAGTATCGCTAACCGTTTTGAGTATTATTTAATGTTTTGAGTATAATGTACCGTTTTTATAATTATGTACCGTTTTGAGTATTATGTACCGTTTTGAGTATTAGGTACTGTTTTGAGGATAATGGACATTTTGAGTATTATTTATCGTTTTGAGTATTGCTTACCGTTTTGAGTACTAAGATAGTTTTGAATATATGTACCGTTTTGAGTATTAAGAACTGTTTTGAGGATAATGGACGGTTTTGAATATTATGTACTGTTTTAAGTATTATGTACCGTTTTGAGTATTATGTACCGTTTTGAATATTATGTACCGTTTTGAATTTTATGTACCGTTTCAAGTATTATGTACCGTTCTGAGTATTATGCATCGTTTTCACGATAATGGACGGTTTTGAGTATTATGTACCGTTTTGAGTATTATGTACCGTTTTGAGTATTATGTACCGTTTTGAGTATCGCTAACCGTTTTGAGTATTTTTTAATCTTTGAGTATAATGTACCGTTTTTATAATTATGTACCGTTTTGAGTATTATGTACCGTTTTGAGTATTATGTACCGGTTTGAGTATTATGTACCGTTTTGAGTATTATGTACCGTTTTGAGTATTATGTACCGTTTTGAGTATCGCTAACCGTTTTGAGTATTTTTTAATCTTTGAGTATAATGTACCGTTTTTATAATTATGTACCGTTTTGAGTATTATGTACCGTTTTGAGTATTATGTACCGGTTTGAGTATTATGTACCGTTTTGAGTATTTTGCTGTAGTTTTTGCGCGCAGTGGTCCACTGTAATGAGTTTGGACATGTGGGGTTGGCAAGGAGGGCAGTGGATAGGAGGGGCAGGATGAACCCGACCAGCCAGAGGATGAGGGAGCCGGAGAATGGAGGGGGCTGGAAGCAGACTGCCGACAACACCTGGGTAATGATTAGGGCCAGGTGACACGACAGCAGAAAGAGGAGCGCCGTCTTTAGATTATCACTCAATCTGCTCGCCTATAATAAAAAAAGTTGCTATAAATGGAAACTTTCCATGAGTATAACTTATGCCACGATTCGAAAAATACGTATTAAGCATAAGTTATCAAAAAAAACATTCATTTTGACCAAAATAGAAAACCTCTACCGATTGCACGCAGAAAATTTTGTGATATTGACAGATAATTTTTAAACTTTTTTTTCAAAAAGTATTCCGATCTCTTTCTCTAATTTTGAAAAGAGAGTAAACTATCGAGTCTAATATGTTTGTGAGTGAAACGTTTCTGAGTATCTGAAGAGAACAGAGTAGTGCTCCCAGTGCTGATGCGAGACCAAGAGGGGAGAGGTGGCGTCCGTCTGGTAAAAAGAGCTCGAAACACACTGGCTGGCGTACACACGACTGAGGCACGTATGGCATCACTCCAATACTACAATAAAGAGCGAGTTGACGGCCGATTTTAAAGAGCGGTGCATGAAGTATCGGATAATCATCAAAAAATAGAAAATTGAACATATCCTCCAACAGTCAGCTGGAAAAGGGTGGGTCAACGACCGCAAATAAACTCACTTGCTTTTCTGACAAAAACTCACATTTCGAAATTCGAAGATAAAATAGATGTCTTTAAAGCTCTTTGAATTTCTAGAACATTTTATAATTTATTTATTTTTTTCGATAAACTAACCCAGTTTGAGAAAACTTTTATATTTTTATGAATGTGGTGGTCTAACCTGACGTCTGATTGTAGGAATATGTCGATGTTGGTGACGTTGAGGGAGCTGCCATACACACAGTCTATCTCGCTGTTCTCCTGCATGATGTTCACCATCTCTTTCGTAGCTGTAAACAAATCTACCTTTTATAAGCACCATAGCCAAAGGTGACACATAACCCCATGAGTGGTTGAAAAAAATCAGCCAGAATAATTACAAGAGAAAACTCGAGAAAAACTTTCAAAAACAGTTAAATCACAAAAAACGTACACGGAGGTGAAGCTGAGCTTAGCACCACTTGCAAAACTACAAGTGCAGGATTAAAACAGCATGACGGTCAAGAAAAAGCGGCTTCGAACGATGTTACTCTTGAAACAAAAACTGTAGAAAAACGCAGAAAAAAAAACGAACGTTATGGAACCTGATCTAAACTACATTTTATTATTTATGATTTAGACATTTTACCACTGTAAAGTATTTAATATTAACCAATCACAATCCATCTAACTAACTACCCACTTATTTGTAAGTGCTGAAATTACTTGTAATTTCAGCACCAGAGAGATTTGAATTTAACTTAGAAAATAGTTCTCTCCCGAGTACTTCAGCAGCCGCAAAAATACCAGTATACTCTAGATCTATTGAGCCTAGCAGAGACTAGTTAAACACCCTGAGACTAGTAGTTATAAGAGTGAGATTAGGATCGGTATTAGACTAAGAAGTTGCACGAATCTATCCGGCCGAAAATAAGATAGCGTGACGAGCAGACGGTGTACCCTATCCGAAATTACTCTATGAGATATACCCCCATATCTAAACTCATCTGGTGCGACCATAAGTCTCGAACAAGACCTTAAAAAACAAAGTAGCTTAGAACTAACAAAAATTAGATTAGAGATAGACAAAAACATTTTCAAAATGTTATACGACAAAAATTTAATTGAATGGTCTCTACGACTCAATAGATCAAAACCGCTATTCCGAACAATACGAGAACAACCACGTATTGGAAACAGACCTCGAACAAGAGACGACATACGACTAGAGAGAAACTTACCAAATAGTTTCATGATCGTATGGCAAAAGCCACAACAAACTTTTATATTTAGAATTTTAACGGCAATGAATTTAGATTTTAATTCGCAAACATAAAGTGATTGAAGAAAAATCTTCAATGCATCTATCAGGCGCTAAATAAATTATTAATGTTCAATAACGATTGATAAAAACACCACTAGTCGTTTCTTCCACTGCAGTACTATATAAAACATATTTTATTCAAAATAAAAACAAAAATTAGTAGAATGACAATAAATCGTTAGTAAACATCAATCATCTTGTTGTTCCAGCTTCATCACCTAAACATAACAGCAATCATAAATCAACTAACTTCATCAAAACTAAAATTCACAAATTGTTATTATAAATTTTAAACTTTATATTCTCTAAACCTAAATTTTCTAAATTTAAAACAGATCATCAAGGCTTATCCTTGGATCTAAATTAATTTTCTATTCTTAAATTTGATTCTGATCATTAAGGCTTATCCTTGGATCAAACAGAATAGTTTTGTTCTCCCCCACCCACTTATCACTTAGTAAGTTTAAAATAGTATCTAACGAACTACTTGCGTTCTAATTATACCTGAACCTTGTGGATCGACTTACTATTCTCCAACCTTTGAATACAATCACTACCCCTAAATAAGATTAAGTAAGTTAACAACTTAGCTTATGCTAGCCACGAGAAACTAAAAATCATTCTTCGGATTTGATATACTTTTCTCTCCAACCCTGAATAAAAAGACCCAGGCTAAGCTAACCAAAAAATCGTAAGGACTAACAGTCTAGGATATTAAAATCACTTACAAACAACTTTGCATCCATCATCCTAAACCTTATGTCATTAAAAAATCTAGGAAATAAACAAACAATCGTCATACACAATTGTCAAATTGAAAATCAAAAATACGATCTTGTTATAACCCCGCATACACAAACAGTTGAATACATTCACACAAAACGGCAAACACTAAAAAGAACAATCCTAAAAAAGCAAAGACAAATAACACGAAAAAGATTTTCAAAACACCGAAATGCATTTTCCGAATCAGAAGTCAGTAGTCTCGATGCACTATATAAAAAAGAAGATTCAATAAACCAAACTTATCCAAACCAGGACCCAGTATATTTTTCCGATTCAGAAACAAATACAATTTCATCGAAAAAAAGGAAAAAACAGGATAAAAAAGAATTACAAACACAAACCAGTACATCTATACAATTGGAGTCAACCAATTAGACACATTAATAATTATACATTAACAGTCATCAAAGGAAAAGATGAGCAACACTCAAAGTGAAGAAAGTCTCGATTACGAACACGCTTTCCCCTTCATTATAGATTCAGAAAATGACAGAGGACAAATAAAATTTTGTAAAAATTTACTCATAATTTTATTTGAACCAGGAATCAGTCCATGTAAAACAGAATTTCCAGATGTAAAAATCAAAAGACAAATAATAGATCATTATCTCAAAGATATCTCTAAAAAACACAACAATACGGTATCTACACTATAGGAATCTGTACACCAAGAAATGATAAATTTGTTATTCAAACAGACGATCTTGATCTAGAATTTTCAAAGGTATTCACAGAATATATCAAAAATAAACAATACCATAGTTCACAAAGAGCAAACTCAATATTCACAATTGAAGTTTTTGCTATAATATACACATATATAACTATATTAGAAACAACAGAAGTTCAAAGTACATCACCAATCCAGACATCTAAACACAGAAAAGTCAGAAATAAAATCACTGCATTTTCTACATTTTTAAACGCAATTCGTGAAAAATTTTACAACAATGAAGTTTCACAAAATACCAAACATGATTTACAAAAAATACTAGCATGGTTTACAATCGATTATTTCACAGATAATTTAGATTTAATTAGCCAAGCAAGAAAAAACTTTAGACCTTAATGTAACAATGACAAAACTGTCATTGCAGAACAATCAGATTATGTTTGGGACCCTGATTGGTCTCATTCATTAATTATAAACATCCCAGCTGATATCTCAAGTCAAGCAATAGATACAATATCTATTCATCCAGATTTTATAAACATAATACCATTAACAATTGACGCAACACCTTTAAATTATAATATATTTTTACCCGATACATAAAACAACATTTTGAACTCAACGGTAATACATAATGAAAACCTCAATGGAACTCGAAATCTTACACAGCAAGATATTCAAACACCATCACAATTCATAAATGAAGAAATTGTCCACACAACAGTAACAACTACGGAATAAAGTATCTCACCAATACATCCAAATTTAACAACACCAAAAAATAATAAAGCAACATCACCACAAATAACATTACAATCAACCGTAAAACCCTCAGCCACTTTTGCTCCTAAAAATTCACATATGGATTATCAAACATTTAGACCAATGACAAGACCGCCAAAACCAAGAAAGACATTTACAAGAAGTATTTTGCAGAACACAATTATAATTATACACATCCACCAAAGGCAAACCACTCCCCACGAAAAACTAATACTAATCATGTATGTTCTCACTATTGGGATAAACCAATGACGACAAACAATTCAGTAAATTTTCAATCTAATCAGCATCCTCCACAGGATCATAGTGAAAATTATCCATTTTTTCAACAAAACAAAAATAGAAAGCAAACACCTCATCATATGGATTATCTATCATCTGACGATGATTATTTACAACCAGATAATTTTGCACCATACACACAAGAGTATCGCACACAAAAACCACGACGACCTCAATATAACAGAATTTTTCCTGAAAACCGACTAGATATTCAAAACCAACAACCACCACAAATGCCAAATTCATATAATACACAATCTTTTCAACCGATACAACCACAAAACCCAATGATTATGCATTCGTATCAACCGAACCAAATGAAATTACAAAAAATCAATTGACAAATTTTTCAAAAATACCAAATGCCGCAGAATCACTACAAATGACGATGAATCCATATCTCATGGGAGGATCGTCAATAACATCAAACAAACCACTCATGGTATTTACAGGAACAGATCCTGAATATTCAGTAGAAGATTATCTAAACGCAGTCACAGCAAATTTAATTTTGAATATAGGACCTGAACCAATAAATACACCACTCCATCAAAATTGTATACATCGACGCACAGCGTTGATACAAACAACACTAGATGGCGCAGCACAAAAATGGTTTTCAGTACCTGTATAGAAATAAAATCAGATTGGAAAAGATTCACACAAGAATTTTCAAAAATGTTTGATTCTGAAAGAAGCAAACAACATCAAAGAGTTTTATGTAATGAAATTCGCAGATTACCAAACGAAACTATAAAACAATAAGCAGTTAGAATCGAAACACTAGTTCGAAAAGCATGCATATTCACTTAATACACATGGCTATAAGAATACAAAAATGACAGAAATTTTAATGATGAACTTAACGCCACAATTAAGGAAAATTGCTATAAAGAAAAGAGCATCTCATCCTTTCTCAATTCGAGAACCAGATCCAGATTTCAGAAAACTAGTCGATAAACTAGAACAAGCGGAAATCACAATGAAACTCGAAGAAACCGAGAATTTAAAATTACAGTATGTTAACCGCATTGAAACAAAAACTACGCATATTAACAATATACAGGAATCAGATGTAGACCTATCTAAAAAAATCACTGAAATTTTAAACATCTATGAAAGAAACCCAAATTATAAAGGCAAACCATCTTTCAAGAAATGGTGTAACTATTGTCGACGATACGGACACAGTATCTCCGAATGTAGACAAAAACAGCAATACAACCAAAATAAACCTCCAAAACACAAAGAACCAAATAAATCATTTTATCAATACATGAAAAAAGATCAAAATCTACCAAACAAAAACGTATAAAGCAATAATAGCTCTGGAAAACCACTTCCAAGCAATCAAAAACATTCTAGAAATCAATCAACATATATTTCTAGTTATAGAGGTAGATCACCCGAACAAAGAAATTCACGAAATTTCTCACAAAATAGATATAGCCAATCGAATAGTC